CTGTGCTGTAGACCTCTATGACTGATGGTGGTTTAGCCTGAGGGTAACCATGACTCAATTCCCAAGTTGGCTGAGGTTACCATGAAGGCTGTTATAGGAAGGATATTATTAAACGGGAGAGGGTTCAGAAAGTATTTACCAGGAATGGAGGGTTTAAGTTATAAAAATAGGCTGGATTAGCTGGGATTACGTTCACTGGAACGTAAGAGGTTGAGGGGTGACCTTATTGAGGTTTATAAAATCATGAGGGTCATAGATAAGGTGTATAGCAAAGATCCGTCCCCTAAGGTGGAGGAGTTAAAAACTAGGGGCATATTTTTAAGGTGAGAGGAGAAAGATTTAAAAAGGACGAGGGGCATCTTTTTTTTACAGAGAGTGATTTGTGTGTGTAATGAACTGCCTGAGGAAGTGGTGGTGTAGTTACAGTTACAAGATTTAAAAGACATTTGGACAGGTACATGAATAAGAATGAATAGTTGTGAGGAACGGTCACCGGACCCGAAACGTTAACTCTGTTTTTTCCTCCACAGATGCTGCCAGACCTGCAGAGCTTTTCCAGCAACTTTGTTTTTGTTCCTGATTTACAGCATCTGCAGTTCTTTCGGTTTTTGTTTACATGATTAGGAAAGGTTAGGAGGGACTTGGGGTAAAAGCAGGCAGGTGGGACTAGTTTAGTTTGGGAATATGGTCAGTGTGGACTATTGGACTCAAGGGTCTGTCAACGATCTCTATGACTCTCCTTCTCAACCTCTCCCCTTGCCTAAGGCATGGTGGCCCACAGGTACAACCAGCACCATTGAACCCACACGATAGGAGCAAATTATTGCAGATGCTGGAATCTGCACTGAAAACAAAAACAAAATACTGGAGATCACAGCGGGTCTGGCAGCATCCATGCACAGAGAGCAAGCTAACGTTTCGAGTCTAGATGACTCTTCATCAGAGCTGAAGAGTGGAGGGGACAGCATGTAGCTATAGTTGGGCGGGGTGGGAATAGGTGTTGACCCACACTGTTGGCATTACTCTACAGTGCAAACCAGCCGTCCGGCCAACTGAACTAACCAACTACCCCGTCCTTAAGTTCGACAACCTTGCCTGACAGGTCTCTTCGCGGAAGTGTGACTTTTCTTTCCTTCCCCCCAACCTCTGCACAAACTGGTGAACACAGCAGGCCACCTTGTTATCTCAGATTCTCCAGCATCTGCAGTTCCTGCAATCTCTGTACAAATGGTATGCTTTGCATGTCGTGTACTAACATGGGAATGAATTAAGTTGAGGAAGCATGGAACTGCAAGTCGAGATCGAAAGAAATAAATCGATCAATTGATAAAGGGGAACCGGGGTAAATATTTGTTTCCTAGAATACAGCAGGAAGGAAAATGATACAGACTTTCCAAGTAACAAACTGTAACAATTCCTTATGATTGACAGTGAAACTGACCAATAAGAAACTGGGGGTGTTGTAGCTCTTGTCCTATAGAAAGCGGAATTGTGGAGTTGTGACCAATCAGGGTAAGGCTGGGGTGTGGCTGGCACTAAGCCGGTGGATGGTGAGGGGTTGTCGGCGCAGTTTCTGCTCCCACACTGAGACACACAGAAAGAGGGAGAGAGAGAGAGACAGAGGGAACACACACTGCTCTTGGTAAAGGAATTGCCGCAGCGCAGCTACTGCCCGCGGTCCCCACTCTCAGCCGCGCCTCCTTCCCCAGCTTTGTGGGCCCGCTGCTGTTGTTCGGGGCAGGCGGATAGTTGGGGGGGGGGGGGGGGGATCCTCTCCCGTACCTAGCCCCCTGTCTGGGTCATCCTTCCTACGCGACCACAATGTGGATCACTGACCTCTCACTGCACCTCCTCGGATCGTGTCCTGTATGGGTCAGTGTTCCCCCTTCTCCCCAAATTGCGTCCAGTGTGGGCCAGAAATTCACCTGGACTGTGTCCAGTGTGGGTCACTGAGCCCCCTCCCCACCCCCCCCTACTCAGCACTGTATCAGTGTGGGTCAGAAATTCACCTGGACTGTGTCAAGTGTGGGTCACTGACCCCCGTACTCAGGATTGTAGCCAGTGTGAGCCAGAAATTCACCTGGACTGTGTCCAGTGTGGGTCACTGAACCCCTATCAGCACTGTGTCCAGTGTGAGCCAGAAATTCACCTGGACTGTGTCCAGTGTGGGTCACTGAACCCCCTACTCAGGACTGTATCCAGAAATTCACCTGAACTTTGCCCACTGTGGGTCAGTGAACCCCCCCCCCCCCCCCCCTTGGATTATGCCCAGGGTGGGTCAGTGACCACCTCCCTTGGATTGTGCTCAATGTGGGTTGGAAATTCACCTGAACTGTGCCCAGTATGGGCCAGAAATTCACCTGGATTGTGTCCAGTGTGGGTCACTGACTTCCCCCTCCTCAGGACTGTGTCCAGTGTGGGTCAGAAATTCACCTGGACTGTGCCCACTGTGGGTCAGTGGACCCCATGCCCTCCCTTGGATTATGCCCAGGGTGGGTCAGTGACCACCTCCCTTGGATTGTGCCCAGTGTGGGTCAGTGAACCCCTCCCCTCCCCTGGATTATGCCCAGGGCTGGTCAGTAAGTGACCCTGCACCCTAGATCCTGCCCACTGTGCATCAGAAATTCACCTGGATTGTATTCAGTATGGGTCAATGAACCCTTCCCAGATTGTACCCACTGTGGATTTGTGACCCCCTCCCCCAAGACTGTACCCACGGTGGGTCAGATGTTTACCTGGATTGTGCCCACCCTGAGTCAGTGAACCTTGCCCCTCCCTCAGATTGTGCCCACTGTGGGTCAGTGAACTGCCCCTCCCAGCCCCTTTTTTGCCAGTGTGGGCCAGTTAATGCCCAGAATGTGCCCCACAGCAGGGGCCAATGACTTTCACCCCCACCTCCACTTGACTATGCCCAGTGTGAGACATTTACTCCAACCAGACTACCCTGGGTGTGCCCTTTGTGGGTCACTTACTCGCCTGGATGGTACTCAGTGTGGGTCAGTGACTCTCATTGTCTTGCTGGTGTGGGTCAATGACTCTCATTGTCTGTGCTGATGTGGGTCAGTGCCATCTACTGGGATGTGCCCAGGGTGGTCATCAGTCCTTCACTGCCCACTTGCAGGTCAGCGTGCCTGCTGGGTATTGTGGCCTGGTGTGGGTCAGAGGATCTGCCTAGTGCTGGCGAAACTGCAGCAGTTCTACTGGAGCTTCTCCACTTGAGTTCTGGGATACAGTGTGGATTTCAGCTGACAAGCCCAATTCTTAGCATGGTCTTGTTGGATGTTACATAGTCTGCAGCAATTTCTCCACTCTGTTCTCTTCTTGGCTGTTGGAACTGGCCTGCCTATGTTTTTTTTAAAAATCTAATTCATGCATGAGATGTGAGCACCAATGGTAAGACCATTACACAATGCCCATCACTGATTGGCTTCCTAGGCCACTTCAGAGGGCGGTTAAAGGGTCAGCCACATTGCTGTGGGACTGGAGTCACACACAGACCAGGTAAGGATGAGGTTGTTTCCTTCCCATTAGTGAACCAGATGGGGGTTTTACACAGTCACCATTAGTGATACAAGCTGTTGATGCCATTGATAATGAGCTAAATTCAGGTTTCCCTGGCTGGCTGTGGTGAGATTTGTTTCCGGAGCCTGAACCTCTGGGTTACAAAAGCGTTAGCATAACCATGATGCCACCGTTCTCGATGTTCAGCATTAAGAATGATTCTGTCACTGCTATCTAAAAGGGCCAAATAACATGGCAAGGAGACAGAGCCCAAACATGTAGTTTAATGGAAAATATACCAAATTTATAATTCCAATTAATAATGTTCTGCTTTGTGTTTTGCCAATATTTTAATCCTGGCATTATGCACCAATCTTAGAGGCTGTGAGTGCAATGCCACTTCATGGGCTACATTTGGTGTAGACCTGTGAGTATGTCAATAAGATTCTCCAATCAGTCCATCTGCTCACTGCATGGCTGAAGGTTGGCATTAAACCTTAACTAGAAAATTTAAGGAGTAGACCCCTTAAAGCTCTGAACAGGAGCCACGACTAATTATACTGTACAGAATTGTTATGACTCAGAAGAAGGCCATTCAGCCTAGTTCGAGCATTTAGTGCCAATTTCCTGCCTTTTCCTGAAATCCCTTTACACCATTTCGACCCAAATATTCATCCTATTGATTGTCTCTGTTGAACCTGCCTCTATCAAGTTCCCAGGCAGTGCACTCCAGACCCTACCTACTTGCTGTGTGTGAAAAGTTTTTTCTCCTGTTGCCCTTGCTTCTTTTAAACATCATTTTAACTCTATGCTGTCTCGTTCTTTTTTTTTACTTTTCCAAGTGAGAACAGATCCAAAAGTGCCAAAAGGTTTGACCCATTCTCCTAGTTATCTGTGAAGTGGCTTAAAAAGCTAATTGTATGCCCCTTGGTCTTCACCCCAAATCCCCAGTGATGCAGAGAGGGATGCCAGCATAGAAATGACAGATTTTATTTTTCATCATTCGCCTGGTTTTATCTCTGCCTCCCTGCTTTTACCCTGGATTCACTTAACTATATTTTTGTGCACTGACCAGTCGTTACATAATTTACTTAGTTCAAAGTCAATAGATTGGGTTTGCACAGAGCATGCTGTTCTGGTAGAGATGATGTAATAAGATATGAAAGGGTTGTGAAATGTTGATTGTGACTTTGTATGTTTGTTATTTGTTTGTGGGATGTGGGTGTTTCTGGCTGGGCCATCATTTATAACCAATCCCTAATGCCCTGGAGAAGGTGGTGTTGAGTCGCCTTTTTGAACCATAACAGTCCTTGGCCTGTGTTGTTGATAGGGTGGGAATTCCAAGGTTTTGACCCAAAACACTGAGCGTGTTGCCCTCGGCTGTTTGAGTTACTGATAACCCAAGGGAACCGCAGTGTGCCCAGACTTGCAGAAGGTCTTTGACAGAGGGCTAAACCGTGAGGAAATCAATTGGGAAAGGCATGAAGGATGGCAGAAAATGTGGAATTTTGTGGGACAAGGGTGCCAAATGCTGTGCCAGATTGAATATTTCAGAACTGAAATCGGCAACTTTGTGCTGGTAATGTGGATGGAAAGTAGCTGAATGGTCTTGAGATAACAATGTATTGAATGGTGGAACAAGAATGGGACGTTAATAAACCTGCTGTTAAGATTTCTGAAGCCACAAGGAGAAGGAATTTATTAGACTCACACCCACGGTGATACAGGAAAGTAAAACCTTTGGGAATGGAAAGGATAACAAACTGGATGAGGTGTTATGTGTTAGCGGAGATACATCATAGAAGGAAGAATTGTTGGTTGGGGTGCTTCATAAAAGCTAAATACTTGGAACACTGTTGTTACGAATTCAAACGAACTCCCATGATTCAGAAATTTGGAGCGAGGTGGTGAACTTTGCAGATGATACCAAACTAGGAGGGACAGTGACAAACTGAAAGAGAGGGCATTTGTGTCACTGTGGGAGTATCCATACCTCTGAGTCAGGAGGCCTGATTTCAAGTCCCACCTGCTCCAGAGGCATGTCTGAACAGGTTGATTATAAAATATCTGGAACTGAAAGAGGGCGATTTGAAATGAGGTATGTGAGTGAACGGAAGAGTAAGGAGAAATGTTTACATCGCAGAAAGAAAATTAGACGACATTCAAACAATATGCGCCGTGTTGAAAATGTTAAGAATGAAGGTGAAAGACATGGGAGCTGTGGTAATGCTGACACTAAACGTAACTCAACAAAGTCCTTGGGAAGACAAGCTAAATAAACACAAATAGCCAAAGGCAAATTAGAGAATGATCAAATTTTTTGACATTATATTCAACCTATGCCTTGACTGCTGCTCCCAATTCTGCTTTCCCAGCCCCAGCAACTGTTTGGAAACTGAAGGCAGGGCAGAGAAGAAGCTGCACCCTTAGGCTGTGGTAATTAGATCCAAGCTGTAAGTACCAATTTCTCAATTTCTTCTCTCTGTGCAAACGGGAGCTGCCTGCCTGATACCTTACCGTGCAAAATTGGCCTGGCATCTTCCAGATACAGCACAAGTGGGTTGGGGCTGAGAGAATGCTCAATTATTTGAACTTTTGAGAGGGGGTCTTGCACTTATGAGTGAATATATATATATATTATGTATATATATGGTAGGGCAGTCTGATTGTGTTAAAACTTTTCTGGCCTTTTTAAATTTCCTGTTCTATGTGAGCTATTCCCAGGGTGGCAGCTTTTGATTCTTCCAAGCTGTGGCCAAGCAGTAACCTAAAGGTCCCCTCTCAATGCCATGCGCAACTTGGCCCTTTAACTAGAGCGCATACATAAATTTAAAGGGCTCCTCACTTGACGAAATCACCTGCACACTTACAGGCAGTGTCTATCACAGCCCACAGCCGTTCCTGAAGAAAAGTAGTTTGCATTTGTATAATGCCTGTCACAATCTCAGGATATTGCAAAGCACTTTGCAGTTGAACCATAGGGAAACAGTCAGTTTGTGCACAGGGAGATCCCACAAGTTGCATTGATATAAGTGAACGGTGAATCTGATTTTGGCGAGCTGCCTGAGGGATGTACATTTGGACAGGGCATGAGCTGAACCTCTCTGAATAGCGATTTATTATCTCATTTGTACCTCCCATTACCCCAAACGTGGCAGCCTTCCTTCCAGACTGCATTGACAGCTTGCAGTGGGTGTCCAAGTCCATGTCTCTGCCAGTGATACATCTGCACCAGATCTCAGTGAAATAAGTCTTTTTTTTGAGGAGTGTCCAACTGCCTGACTCCTCCTTTACAAGAGAAGGGTGTGCACATTTCCAAGAGATGATTCCATTCAGGGCTCCCTCAGGAATTCCGAGGTGTACTTCCATCCCAGCTGTTCTTTCCTTTTTCACAGCAGCCAGCTGCTGCATTCTGACACTTAAAGGTCCAAATAGCGACTGACAAACTGTAAGCACATAAGGTGGGTGTGATGTTATGGTACAGGAAGGGTAGGGGACCAGGTAAGTGATGCAGTGTTCTAGATAGGTCAGGGGTGGTGGAAAATATCTGGGAGAATCTTCCAGGGGTTCATGAAGGATGGTGGTCAGGTTATGGCAGTTGAGATGGAGGTTCAGGCCCAGTTGTGTGAGGGGGCATAGGTGGAGGGGAAAGAGGGGCTTGGTAGTAGATGAAGGGAGGTCGGTGATCCGTTACCTAGATCTGTTAGGTCAGGGTATGGGAGATGTAAGTGACCTATAGGAGATATAGAATTCAGTCTGCACCGACCCTCTGAAGAGCATCCCACACAGACTCAACCCCCTAACCTATCCCTATAGCCCCACATTTAGCATGGCTAATCCACCTAAATGCACGTCCTTGGACTGTGGGAGGAAACCTGTGCATCCAGAGGAATCCCACACAGACACGGGGAGAATGTGCAAACTCTGCACAAACGATTACCCGAGGCTGGAATTGAATCCACGTCCCTGGGCGCTGTGGAGGCAGCAGTGCTAACCACTGAGCTACTGTGCCACCCTATTCTTATAGAGTCATAGCGCTATACAGCATGGAAACAAACCCTTCGGTCCAACTCGTCCGTGCCGAACAGATATCCTAAATTAATCTAGATCCCATTTGCCAGCGTTTGGCCCATATCCCGCTAAACCCTTTCTATTCATGTACTCATCCAGATAACTTTTAAATGTTGTAATTGTACCAGCCTCCACCACTTCCTCTGGCAGCTCATTCCGTACACACATAAAAAAAGTTCCCTGTTAGGTCCCTTTCAAATCTTTCCCTCTCACCTTAAACCTATGTCCTGTAGTTTTAGACTCCTGCACCCCAGGGAAAAGACCTTGCCTATCCATGCCCCTCATGATTTTATAAACCTCTTTAAGGTCCCCCCTCAGCCTCTGATGCTCCAGGGAAAATAGCCCCAGCCTGTTCAGTCTCTCCCTATAGCTCAAACCCTCCAACCCTGGCAACATCCTTGTAAATCTTTTCTGAACCCTTTCAAGTTTCACAACATCCTCCCTACAGCAGGGAGACGAGGATTGTGAGGGTGTGTGAAGTAAGTATGGGATCAAGTGAATCGTTACTGAGGAGTTATAGTGTGATTTAATCGTCTAATTTTTCCTGAGTAACTATTTCCTGAATTTCATCAGAACCCTCTGAAGTCTCTGATTTAAATGGAGCTTCCTGGAGGTGTCCATGAGGAGAGGAATTGCTGGACGGGAAATACAGTTTCCCAGGCAATTCCTTTGGTGTCTTCTGCATTGAGGAATCTACAGTGTTCCCGTGTGCCTTTCTCATCAGCGCTGGAGTAATGATGGGCTGTCGGAAGATCTGGATCAGTGTTTCTTCTCGGTGAAATCATTACTGCTGCACTGTGCCCCATTAATCACAGGCAACATTATCACTATATTTTCTAATTTTTGCTGATGTAACCCATACTTTTGGGTACAAAAGTCCAATTGTCCTAGTGGGAACGGGATGATTTATGTACAATTTTGCATTAGTAGATATGGATATTAGACCATAAGAAACAGGGGTAAAATTATGCCATTCAGCCCATCAAATCTACCCCGCCATTTGATCATGATTGATATATGGTGTGGCAATTGAACCCATGCTGTTGGTATCACTCTGCATCATAAATCAGCCTGTCCAGGCAACTGAGCTAACCAACTCCCTATCATGACCATTTAACTCGGTTTGAAGTGGAGTTTTGACTTGTACTAGTGAATGTTGTAGTTAATAAGGGAATGTTTAACATCGAGCCTGTAGCCAAAACTAACACAGTTTGCTTAAAGCAAGCACGATGAGGAACGTACTGGTGGTGACCTCGCTACTGCTTATTGCTGTATGTAGGTTTTAGTCACGTTTGTCGAAAATAGCTAACATACAGCTTCAGCAGAGCATGAAGAAGTGAATCTGAGCGCAAGTCTTAGCTCTCTTTGCATTTAGCTTGTCTAGATCTCTCCAGTCCAGACAATTTCTGTGCAACTCAAAGTTAAATATAGCTGAAGTGGAAAAGTTTTTTTTGATTTTCAAAAGTATATTTAAGTGCAATTAATACAGATGGGTTTTTCTCACATCACTGTACGAATCAAGTTCTTGTCGTTTATTAGGGGTGGTCTTTACCATATAGCAGCCCAAGGGCAGTATGCAGAGGGACTGGAACTCAGGGTGAATAGGAAGAGCCCAGTTCCTCCTCAACCAAGAGCATCTCAGTGCGAGTTTGGAAACTCTGGTGACAGTTTGTGCTACCAAAGGACTTTATCGGTCTGTTTAGGGAACCATCTAACACCTCTCCATTTCCTGCACAGCCTCATGTCATTGACCGGAATATTGATTCATGTTGCAGTTAGACTGCCCTTTTTATTCTTTTATGGAATGTGGGTATCAGTGGTCACTCCAACTTTTGTTACCCTTCCCCAATTGTCCTCGAACTACGTGGCATCCTTGATCATTTCAGTTAAGAATCTGTCTGGAGTCATTTTTAGGCCGGATTTCCTTTGCTCAAACAGATGGGCTTTTTAAAATAAGATTAGTTTTGCTTATTATGAATTGAATCTAAATTCCACCAGCTGCCGTGATGGGATTCAAACCCGGATCCCTGGAGCATTAGACTGAGCCTCAGGGTCAGTGGCATCAGCACGACACCATCATTTCCTCATTGACACCTTTTGGATGACACTGTTTGTCAGTGGGATAAGAAGCAAAAATGGCATAGGAAGATGAGGAGGAGCCACAGTGTTGCCTGCAGCTAGTTTTAGATAATTTAACTCTTTCAGGGTGGTGTGATGCATGACTAAGACAGAACCACTTATTCAGGGCATAAAACCTCTGCTGAACCATACTATTTACCTAAGGGATTCAGTTAGCTTGGACAGCTGGTTTGCATTGCAGAGTGACATCAACAGAGTGGGTTCAATTCCTGCACCAGCTGAAGGACTCTCCTCCTGAACCTCTTGTCTGAGGTGTGGTGACCCTCGGGTTAAATCACCACCAGTTGTGTCTCTCTAACGAGAGCGCAGCTCTGTGCCAGCTTCACTTTTATTTTTTTTAACCCGAACCTTTCAAGCAATGCAGCTCCAGAATTGTAGGGAATGATATAACTGCTCAACCTTTTCCATATTTTACAAGAGTAGATTATTTTGTCTACAACAGAGTAATCATTAAAGCAAGTTTTAAATTCCAGGCAGTGATATTTTTGTTTGTGAGGATGAGAGAGAAAGAAAACAAATTTGAAACTGAGATCATTAGGCATTGGTAATACTTTAAATTCAATTTGGGCTTCAGTTCTGGACCTTCATGAGACAAGATTAATCGTCATGCACGTAGATTGCTATCTTATCAAAATTTTGGCTTGTTCCGTTTTCATTAAGCAAGTTAAAAATACATGCAATTCACATTTCAGTTCAAGGACTTTGGGACCTATATAAAGCTTGTTATCAGCTCCAAACACAAGTGAAAGCCACGGACTTTTAACCTGAGAGATTTGAAGATGGAACAGCACGAGAATCTGTCTGTAGTGCTCTATGCAAAAAATGACCTGAGACTGGTAAACTAACTTTATCTCTTCTTGTCTTATTTTGAATTATCAGCGCAGAACGTGAAAAGGTCAGGTGAGCTGGGGAGATGAAAACAAAACAAAATACTGTGCGTTTTATTTTATTTTTAAAATATTTTTATTGCTATTTAATTGTATTAAAGACAGCTATGAAGTAACTGGAAACAAATAAACCAACAGAAGTTGCTGGAGAAACTCCGTGAGTCTAGCAGCAACTCTGGAAAGTAAACAGAGGTAACATTTTAAGTCCAGTAACCCTTTGTCAGAACTGAAAGCAGCTGGAAAAGAAGTTCTGAAGAAGGGTCACTGGACCTGAAAGGTTAGCTGTGTTTCTGTCCACAGACATTGACCGACCTGCTGAGTTTCTCCAGCAATTTCTGTGTTTATTTGTTTCCAGTTGCTTCGTAGCTGTCTTTAATACAAGATCCCCAGCATCCCCAGCTGTTTGTTTTATTTGAAGCAACTAACTTGTGCAGCTTGAAAGAATTGTGAAATCCGTTTAAACGTTAGCCTTGCTTTTATTCTGTTGCAGTTCCTAGAAGATTGACAAATTTATCTCTGATTTCCAACCTAATATGTTAAAGAAAAATAGCTGTAAAGAAAATTTGTTTAGAGTGGATGAATGTTAAAGATTTGGGAATTGACGGCCTGGTTATATCGAGCGCTGCGGTAGTATTGTGGCTACAGTGCTAGAGTAGAAATCGTGAGACGTGAGTTCAAATCCAGCTGCATCATTTGGGACATTTTGAAAATTTAATTCAATCAACTTGGAATAAAATAAAAACCAGCAGTAATGATGTCTATGAAAGTGTCTGTTTCATCCAGTTGGCTAATTCTCTTCAGGGAAGAAAATTCATTGAAATATCTCATTTTAACCCCATCAGGCATGCCCTCAGAACAGACCATGAACTAAAAATTTGGATAAGCCCCATTTGTAGCCCTGTTCTGGTTTTTGAGTTTTTCAATTTAAAAATAGCCAACGACACGGCTTTATATTTTAAACAAAGCAAAAGGATGTTTTATAAGCAACAGTTGCTGAAAGCCAATCAAGTAAAAGTGATAATGTTATTAGCTAAAACCACAAAGTTTAGAAGTGGGCAGGGATAAAAGATACTTGCCAAAAAGAAAGTAAGACCGTACTGATTGGTTGTTAATTCTTGAGGTTACTCTATCCAAACTGGAGGGTTTTGAAACTTGAGTCAGCTACAGGGAGAGACTGAATAGGCTGGAGCTATTTTTCCTGGAGCGTCGGAGGCTGAGGGGTGACCATGCAGAGGTTTTTAAGATCATGAGGGGCATGGATAGGGTCTTTTCCTCAGGGTGGGAGAGTCCAAAACTAGAGGGCATAGGTTTAAAGTGAGAGGGGAAATACTTTACAGGGACCTAAGGGGCAACATTTTCACGCAGAGGGCGGTGCATGTTTGGAATGAACTGCCAGAGAAGGTGGTGGAGGCTGGTACAATTGCAACATTGAAAAGGCACCTGGATGGGTACATGAATAGGACAGATTTAGAGGGATATGGGCCAAATACTGGCAAATGGGACTAGATTAATTTAGGATATGGACGAGTTGGACTGAAGGGTTTGTTTTTGTGTAGGTGCATCCCTATGACTCTATGATTCAGCAACTGTGATGGCTTCTGCAGTCAAATAGTTGGTGTTTGCCTTTCCGGTGGGGGGCTCAGCAGGATTTCTGAGACAGCAAGAAGTTTTCTTGTTCTTCGCTAATTCTGTGGTTAAGGTGCTTGGAAGTTGCCGCCTGTCTTTTGGCAGAACAGTTGATTTCTGAATGCACTCGCCCTTGTTATCCCTTTGACCAGGAACCCACTTTGTTGATACGTCTCAGACTTTTCCCGGGAGCTAAAAGAAAAATGCTGCAGATTCTGGTAACCTGAAATAAAAGCAGAAAGAAGTGGAGAAACTCAGTGGGTCTGTCAGCTTTTGAGAGTTCCTCAATGAGTCATTTTGAAAATCCAGACGGTAACTCTGTTTCTTTCTCCACATCCTGCCAGACCTGCTGAGTTTCTCCAGAAATTTGTGTGTTTTCTGTTTCTTCCCAGGGCTCTGTACAAAGTGGTGTTTGCGTCCTGTTTTTGTACAACAGGTTTATTTGAAATCCCAAGCTTTCAGGGCATTGCCCCTTCTCACCTGACAAAGGAGCAGCGTTACGAAACCTTGTGATTTCAAATAAACCTGTTGGACTATAACAGTGTCATGTGACTTCTAACTTTGCCTACTCCAGTCCAACACTGGCACCTCCTGCATCATTTCTTTATGGTAATTTACGAAAAGTTGCTGTTATGTTAATTTAAAATAGGCTTTTGTTCCAGCAGACAAAAAAGTTCATTAAATCGATGTGCTTTCTCTCAGAAGCTTTGAATTCTCTCAGTTGGAAGGACCCACTGTGTTGTCCAAGAGTTAGTATGAATCTAAATGTCTGCCTTCGATGCTGAGATCATGTAGTTCAATAAGTTTTGAACTTGCCCAGTGGTTGTCCATGTGACTTCTATCTTGAAAGGACATTTAAAACTTAATGTAAGGGTTTTCCTTGTTAAGTTACAGACTTCAAGGCAGAATTTTTCTTTTAATATACTTTTTTCCTTAAATATCTACAATATAAGAACTGTACAGCTGTGACAGTATCTTACATGTGATTGCAGACCCATTGCATTTGTGGTTGATCCCTAACTATAATTTGGCCTTGCAAACCACTCAGTTGTATCAGAAAACCTCCTAGGGTGGAGGTAGCTATTACGAGGGGGCATAGTTTTAAAGTGAGTGGAGGTACATATAGGGGAGACATCAGAGGTAGGTTCTTTATTCAGAGAGTGGCAGGGGCGTGGAATGCATTGCCGGAGAGGGTAGTGGAGTCGGCCTCATTAGGGGCATTTAGTGGCTATTAGATAGGCATATGGATGATTGTATAAGGTAGGGGTGGAGGTTAGATAGACCTTTAGGTTCAGGGTAAAAGCTCAGCACAACATTGTAGGCTGAAGGGCCTGTACTGTGCTGTACTGTTCTATGTTCTCTGTTCTAAACTGCGACAGTGGATCCCAGCTGTTCAAGAATATGATGCCTCAACACCTACTGCGATAAGTGCTGACCTCTCCGTGAATGAATGAATGATTTTAAAAATTAACAATAGGTGTTCATTTGGGTTTGAGATGTATGTGATGGAGTCTGAGTGGAAACTGTTTTGGGAGGGTGTCTATGCTGAGCATGAACAGGGGGATTTTGTGATTTTTGACCAGGAGAATTTTGGCAGGCACAAACATTTGTTATGTTCACCGAGCTTGTTCAATGATTACAATCATGTGTAACAGAGCATGTTCCCACCGCACAGTTACATATTAACTTCGTAAATGTTTCTCAAGAAGATTGAGGACAGTCATGGCACGAAAGAGCGAGATTTTTCTCAACTGACTCGTACAGAAAAGACTCAAAATGTTGGTAGTGCTTCCACCTCCTATTTGTATAGCGTATTTCCCAACTTTCCACCATTGTTGGCTTCACCTTTCTACCAAGCTAGGTTTGTATGCCAACAGCTCCTGTTTACTTTTACCATCATTTGCCAAATGTACAAGTGGTCACCAGCTAGTTTTCTAGATACAAAGTGGTGATTGGGTCCAGAAGGACCTGCCTGGAAGTGTCTAGGAGGTAGGTTCAGAGGGAATTATTTAAACAGAAACAAAGAACAGGGCCATGGGGAAAAGGCAGGAGATTGCTACTATTATGATCGTTGGATAACGGGTGCAGACGCAATGGGCCAAATGGCCGCCTCCTGCAACGTACCACCTTCTTTTTAATTCTGTGTAATACACTTTGCTGGTCCCTTGACTGTTTGGGTTCTGCAAACACCACAATGACAAGGGGTGGGTTTGCAGACTGTAGGCAGAAGGCAAGGTTGGGTGTACATGTGACATGCAATGATTCAGTGCTTCCATCCTCATTTAACATGTTCAGCATAGCCCTCTGCTCTCTCACATATCTTAAGTGCATCAAGGTTATAATGCAGTTTCATAGACCACAAGGTAGTAAATCATAGATGTGTCACAGTGCAGAAAGAGGCCATTCAGTCCATTAGGTCTTCACCAGCTCTCCAACCTAGACTAAGCCTTACTCTATCCCTGCTAATTCAGCTAGCCTACATGTCCCTGCACACGACTGGGCAATTTAGCACGGCCAGTCCACTTAACCTGTATATTTTTGGACTATGGGAGAAAACCAGAGCAACTGGAGGAAACCCACGCAGACACAGGGGAGAAGGTGCAAACTTCACACAGCCACCTGAGGCTGGAATTGAACCCAGGTCCCTGGCACAGCAAAGCATTAGTGGCTAACCACTGAGCTACTGTGCTAGCCTAAATGCAGCTGATGGAAGACTTTCTATCCATCTTGCCTTATAAGCTATAGGGACAAGTTGTAGGATCACCATAGCAACAGTCAACTCGGTGAAGAACATCTCCCCCAAACAAAGACAAAATACTGTGGATGGTGGAAATTTGAAATAAAAGCCGAGAATAATGGAGAAACTCATCAGGGCTGGCAGCACCTGTGGAGAGAGATAAACAGTGCGACCCTTACTGAAATCTTACTAGGTCATAACAGACTCAAAACGTTAACTCTGTTTCTTTGTCCGCAGATACTGCCAGTGCTGCTGAGTTTCTCCAGTACTTTCTGCTCTCGTTGGAAGAAGAATTCCCTGTATCTTTGTCAGAATGGTTCTGTTTCCATTGTAATAATAGAATGATTTCAATGATGAGAATTCGATCTTCCTTAAGTAATTTTTCTCTTTCATTCCTTACAGGAGAAACGTCCCATTCCAGAACCAGGGCCTAAAGGTAACTTTTTTTATTCACCAATACCTCAATAATTCAGATCCATTTTCAGGCAGGGTGCTGAAATATAAACTAAAATAAGTGGAAAATGTTGGAAATATAGATCCCTGGTTTGCCATGGTGAAATGCTAAAAGAAAAGCAAACTGAAGTTGAAATGATAAAGAGTGTGGAAATGTTTAGCAGGGTGGCACGGTGGCTCAGTGGTTAACACTACTGCCTCGCAGTGCCAGGGACCTGGGTTCAACTCCAGCCACTGTTTGTGTGGAGTTTGCACATTCTCCCTGTATCTGTGTGGGTTTCTTCTGGGTGCTCTGGTTTCCTCCCGCAGCCCAAAGATATGTAGATTAGGTGGATTGGCCATGCTAAATTGCCTCATAGTGCCTAGGTGAGTTAGCCATGGGAAATGCAGGTTACAGGAATAGAGTAGAGAAGTGGGTCTGAGTGGGATGCTTTTCGGAGAGTCAGCGTGGACTTGATGGTCCGAGTGGTCTGCTCACACACTGTTGGGATTCGATGATTCAAGGTCAGGTAGCATCTATGGAGAGGAGGAAAACAAAGTTTAAGCCTCCTGTACTTGCTTAAAAGCTGTCTGTCATTATGGTTCTCCAGATCTGATCAATGGTCATCATCCATGATTTGAATAAGAATTGAGTGCCAAACATCAACTTGAATTTATATAGAGTGATAAGTCAGCCCAAAGTATTTTATTGCAGCCTTGTAAATGAAAATTTTTGATGTTGAGTCACATGAAGAGTCATCACAGCAGATGACCAAAAGTATTTGCCCCGGACTAGGGCAAAGAAGCAGGTTTCACGGAACCTTGTAAAGGAGGAGAAAGGGGAGGACAGGTTTACGGACCAAATTCTGAAGCTAAGGGCCACAGTGGCTGGAAGCATATCCGCCAATGGAGGATGCTGTTCGGAGGGTCGGTGTGGACTCAATGAGCCAAATGGCTTGCTTCCACACTGTAGGGGTACAGTGATTCAGTGGGGATGTGATGAAAAAAGGCTGGAATTAGAGAAAAGTGGGCATCCTGAGATGCTGTGGAGACAGGCGAGATGACTTGTAGCTAAAATGTGAAAGAGCTCCCAGTCAGAGGCCTTTTAAGGAACCGGTGTGAATATACTGTGCTTGGTCCTTAAGACCCATGTATCTTGTCAAATCCTTTCTGTGGAATAGCCAAAAGTTCCCAAAATATGACCTTTGCTCGTGTTAAACTGCATCTTTTTTTTAAGGTTATGATTTCTTTCAGAGGTGCTGCTGAAGATAGATTCCGTTGGGATCTGTGGTTCGGATGTCCATTATTGGCAAACTGGAAGGATTGGAGATTTTGTTCTGAAGAAGCCAATGGTCCTGGGACATGAGGCTGCAGGGACGATATTCAGAGTGGGTTCTGGAGTGCGACATCTTAAAGCAGGTCAGTGCACAAAACTGAGAAGTGTTTGTTTTACCTCGGGAGTTGAACATGCGTGCCTGTGATTCAGGGACGCAACTAACTTTACTCACTAAGTGTGAGGATAGGGAAAAAAGTAGAAGTACATATCATCATTTGTCAATTTGCTCAGAGCTCACCTTGGCTGTGGGATGTGAAAGGGCACAGTGCCCACTGGGCTGGCTTATGATACAAAAGAGACAGTTTGTTCCATTTCTTTAAACATTATTCAGACATCCTGGAATCAAGCCACTTTTTTTAAAAAACCCTTTCTAACCAATCATTCCCCCTTCCTTCAGAATTTGACCCCCCCACCCCGCTCACTGAAATGAGGCCCTGAAGGCTATACTCACCCTTGGATGTTTATTCGTAGAACCCCTACAGTGTGGAAGCAGGCCATTCGGTCCATTCTGAAGAGCATCCGACTCAGACACTCCCCTCCCCCACCCAACCCTATCACCCTGCATTTCCCATGGCTAATCCATCTAGCCTGCACATCCCCGGAGAGTCCGGGGCAATTTAGCATGGCTAATCCATCTAATCAGCCCGTAGAGTCATAGAGATATACAACACAGAAACAGACCCTTTGCTCCAAGTCATCTAAGCTGACCAGATATCCTAAATAAATCTAGTCCCATTTTCTAGCATTTGGCCTATATCCCTGTAAACCTTTCCTATTCATATATCCTTCCAGATGCCTTTTATATGTAATTGTACCAGCCTCCACCACTTCCTCTGGCAGCTCATTCCATACACGTACCACCCTCTGCGTGAAAACGTTGCCCCTTGGGTCCCTTTTAAATTTTTCCCCTCTCACTTTCAACCTATGCCTCCTTGTTTAGGAACCCCCCACCCTGGGGAAAAGACCCTGTCTATTTAGTCTATCCATTCCCTTCATGAATTTATAAACCTCTATAAGGTCACCCCTCATCCTCTGACGCTCCAGGGAAAATAGCCCCAGTCTATTCAGCCTCTCCCTATTGCTCAAACCCTCCAACCCTGGCAAAACTTTTCTGAACTCTTTCAAGTTTAACAACATCTTTCCTATAACAGGGAGACCAAAATTGCACATAGTATTCCAATAGGGGCTTAACCAATATCCTGTACAGCCATATCTTTGGACTGTGGGAGAAAACCAGAGAACATCCACACAGACTCAGGGAGAATGTGCAAACTTCACACAGACAGTCACCCGAGGGTGGAATTGAACCTGTGTCCCTGTGAGGCAGCAGTGCTAACCACTGAGCCACCATGTCTTTCTTCAAAAATTATTCAGAGATCCTGGAATCAATCCACATCATTTTTACTATCTTTTTCTAACCGTGCCCCTTTCTTCAAAATTTGACCCCCTGACTGAAATGTGGTCCTGAAGTTAATACTCACTGTTGGATGCCGTTTTGAAGCGGTTGTTGATCAGGGACTGCACATGGACTAGTCAAGTACGAAAGCCATTGCCTCCCAAGCCTGCTTCAGCCTTTCATGTCCAGTGGCAATATATTTGCTCCAGTGGGTGATTTAAAATGGGATAACCTACCCTTCTTTAGCACGGGGGTACCATGCTCAATGTTAGTTCCAATACCATTGCCCTCTCGACGACCAGCCACTTTAACCTGAATCTGCAGCATTGTGCTCTGAGCACAAACTCTCAGCCATCGGCTGGTTTTCTGAATTAAGCAGCATGTTACAAAGTGAGACCAATGTTCAACAATGTCTTTTTGATGGTCTGTGATGAATAGTCATCATCATAGTCCAGGTCCTTGACTTATTGTAGCCTTTCCATCTCTCATTCTCTCTCTCACTCTCTCATTTTCTCTCATTCTCTCACACTCTCTCTCTCTCTTTCTCTCTCACACACTCTCTCTCTCTCTCTTTC